TCGAGGATGGGCGGCACCCAGGGGACCAGACACTGGAGTCACAGCTGGTTGCCCTGCCAGCCAGGGGTGGGAGTCACTCTCTTTACCAAGGGCGGTGGCAGGCGTGGGCACTGCTGCTCGGAGCCCTCTGCTGAGGGTGCCACATCCTGGCCCCAGCTGTGGATGTTGGACGGTGCACAAGGGGCAGAGGCTGCTCAGGCCCCAGAGCTTGTACGAGATCACCATCTTCCCACTCCGATCCCAGACCCAGATGGGCTGGCACTGGGACAGGATGCACCCCCTCGAGTCCCCGGCTTCCGATGAATTAAGTCTCATTAGAGATGTGGCAGGGACAGCTCCAGGCCACGAGAGTCACCGGACACCATGGTTCCTGAGGCTGCTGTAGCTCTCAGTGTCCAAAAGCTGTCACACTGGAGCTTCAAGGTCACCTTGGAGAGCTAAGGGCTGTGTGGGCAGCAGAGGAGCTGAGCTAAGAATGGCTGTTTGGTGGTGGGGACAGGGGATGAAAAACTGAGGCCAACAAAACAATAAGATCCCGAGCCTGCCTGATGGGTCAGAGTACAGTCACAGCCAGGTGTGGGGGGCACGCCTGTCGTCCCAGAACTCAGGAGGCTGAGGCAGAAGGATCACCACAAGTTCGAGGCCAGCCTGGGCTACATACCAAGACCCTGTCTCAAAAACACTTACACACAAAAACAAATAAATAAGAACAAAAAATCAAGGGGCTGGAGATTTAGCTCAGTGGCACTGCACCTGCCTTGAAAGCGCAAGGTCCTGAGTTCGACCCTCAGTACCAGAAACAAAACAAAACAAAATAAAAAAAATAAAAAAAAAAAAAAGAAGAAAATAAGAAATAAAGATGTCCACTTCAAGGCATGTCTCTGCTGTCACTGGTAGACAAATGGTACGCAGAGCCCAGATCTGTGTTGATTAATCCCAACAAGCCAGCCATAGCTTTACGGTGGGGTGGTGAATAAACCCAGCAAGCCTGCACCGTTAGTTCTGAAGCTCAGACTGGTTTCTTCCTGTGAGGCTGGAGCCCGTTTTGTTCAGCCAGCAACACTCCGTGTGCCTCCTGCTGGCTTGAACATGGCTCTTTGACCTCCTGCCAACTTAAACTTAGTTCTGCCTCACCCCATGGAATCCACCCACAGCTGCTCTGAGTTCCAAACTCAGTTGGCTCCTCTCTAAGATAGCTACCAGCCAACTGCCCTCCCCTGGGGGAAGTCTGAACCCGAATAACTCACCAGCCACTGCAGTCCACTGCATCCATGGCTCTATTCCACCGGTGCATCTCTCCATGGAGGCCGCTGGGGTTGCCAGCTGTCACTGTGGGCCTGCAGGTTTGAGCCACTGTTCCCTCGCTGTGAGTCAGAGTTCAGGGAGAAGGTGCCACCGCCACCTCCATCCTCTTCATTGAAGTCTCTCTCCTTGCTCTCCTGTGAGCTTCAGTTCTCACTTCAGACCCTTGCTGGGTTCCAGGGACCCGCTTCCCTCCTTCCTGTCTTCCTCACATTGCTATACTGCAGCATCTGCACCAAATAAATAAATTAAATAACAAAGTGCAGGGCCGGGGATTTAGCCCAGTGGTTCTGTCGCCTGCCTCACAAGCGCAAGGGCCCGAGTTCGATCCCCGGCACCAAAAACAAACAAACAAATGAAAAACAAAGTGCAGTCACATATGTCGACAGCCTTCATAGTGACCTTGGAGTGAAGGAGAGGGATCACACAACAGGTCCCCCGCTGTCTGGAGAGGGGAGTGACGGGCCCCCGCCTCCTGGGGTCCTGCCGGGCCCTGGCCCTTCCATACCATGGTCCACACTGTGTACTGTGCAACGCATTAGAAAGTAATTGGCCCCAGTGCAGCCCACCAAAAAGCAATCAACAAACTCGCCCTGAGGTCCATGAACAGACCGTGAGCTTCTCCTCCTCTAACAGTCAAGCCTGTCTTCTGGAAAGCATATTTATTTATTATTGTGACAGGGCCTCACCACGTAGTTTAGGTTGGTCTTGAACTCACTCTAGCCCTGGCAGCCTCCAACTCAAGGCCATCCTCCTGACTCAGCCTCCCGAGTGCTGGAATGACAGGCGGGCATCATCAAGTCCCACTGGAAAGTATTTCGTATTTCTTAGTACACTTTAAAAAATGGTGGCTCATCATTAATGATCTGTCCAGTGGTCAGCTCCCCCGGCCCTCTCCTCCCCCTGGAACTTGCATTCCCAGTTAGGGAAGTTGAGGCAGGCTGCAGATGCCGTCCTGCAGATCTGGTGGCCACCCTGACTCTGCTCTCCTGTCCCCGCGGGGCAAGGTGGTGCTCACTTTCCTCCCCAGGCACAGGTTTGGGTCTGCACTAAGGTGGACAGGACAGGAAGTAATGTTTTTAAGATGTGCTGATGGGTGAGCTTGTGGGGGGACCACAGGTCCACCTGTCACAGGAAGGAGGATCCTTCAGGGTCCCATACCCGGGTGCGAGTCTCCCCACACCCCAGTCTTTGCCTCCAACTTGACACCGGGCCTGGAGCAAAGGGCTTTGCTGTCACTTAGGAGCCTGCTGCAGCCCAAAAGCCGCCCCCAGATGCTCTGCCAACACCCGGGATCCCGGAGGGGCCGGAGTCCCTGGGAGGGGTGAAGGACGACGTCAGGGGGGAGAGGAAAGAGTCAAAGTCTGTAGAATAGCTTCTCAGCCTTTGGGCTCAGATCAAGCGCAAGGTCAGTAGAAAGGAGATTAGGAAACTTGCAATTGTGAAATTGTGCTTTTAAGGAAAACTGAAAAAAAACAAACAAACTACACCTTCAGGACACAAAAGGCATCGAAGGCTCTTTCCCTGCCAGGAAACTCAGGCCAAAAACAACTCCTAAGGGCCTGAAGACACCTGCAGCCTGCGGTTTCTGGCGTGGGAAGGGGCAGCAAGTCTCAGACTCAGACAGGGCCGTGGTTAGCGCTGACGCAGAGCTGGCCACGGACAGGCGCACGTCAAGTCTCTGCCTAAGCCGGGTGTGGAGGCGCACGCCTGCGATCCCAGCACTCTGGAGGCTGAGGCAGGAGGATCGCCATGAGTTGGAGGCCAGCCTGGGCTACACAGTGAGTTCAAGGCCAGCCTGAGCTACGTAAAGAGACCCTGTCTCAAACAAACAAGAACACACATTCTGCCTAATAAACCTCTTTAGGCCTCTCATTGCACATCTGGAAAATTCTTCCTGGGACCAAGTCAGTGAACCCTCAACCTGCCCCATGGGTGAGGTGAGTGGAGGTCTCCACCTGTGCTATGCGGAGCCTCCTCAGGTCCCTGGGTGACCATCACACAAGGAAACACCAATTCCTGGGAACAAAGTATGAAGTGTAGGACACGCCCGCTGCCTCCCGAGCTCAGTGTTGGGAGAGGCTGCCGGGTGCGGTCACCCAGCCTGTAATGGGGTGGCCGGGTGTGGCCTCAGGGAAGAGCCTGGGGTCCAGGGCACGGGGACAGCTCTCGGGAGCAGTAAGGGCAAAGGTGAACAGGTTTCAAGGAGCTAAGTATTGAAAAGCAAAAAACTGATCAAATGAAATTTAAATAAATAAACAAAATTAAAACGGTAAGAAAATCACAACATACATCTGAGACAGTATTTATATATTTAGTGTAAATGTATACCAGCATTTTGACTATCTTCTAAGATAGATTAAAAGGCCGACATCCAGATAGAAAAAGGCACTAAAAATACTAATAGTTTACAAAAAAAGAAAGACCAATGCTCCAAACTACAGGAAAAGCCACACAGCCTTGCTTAGACAGAGAGAGAGATGCAAGTTGCCCTGAGGAACTCTTCCTTGGGGATCAGACAGGCCAGGATCCAAAACCCTCCCTGTCCAGCCAAGGACAGCAGCTCGCAGGCTGTGGGACCTCAGGCAGAAGTGGCAGGGTTCCCGGCCCTGGCCTCTGCCCTTCAAGCAGCCCCACTTCCGGGAACCTCCCTGCAGCTCCCGGCAAGCGACACTGGACCTGGAAGAGGGCCCCACACAGGGGCACCCACTGAGCCCACGGGGTGACGCCAGCACTGGCTGGGCCCGGGCACATGTGTGCATGTGTGCGCGTGTGAGACTCTGGCGTGGAACCACCCATGTCCTTGAGGAAGATACTCTGCAGTTCTGTGCCTGTTTCCTCACCTGCCAAATGACAAGTGTGGCCTACAGAGCAAGGGATGCAAAAGGGTTTGCTTTGGTGTGATTGGTGTTCACTTTTACTACAGCTGGGCTCCCTGTGACCCCGACCCCAACCCCGTCCATGGGAATTGGCATCTGGGCCAACGGGCTGGGATAGGGCAGGCTCCAGCATAGGCCCGGCTCCTGAGGGCCCCGAGGACCCCTCCTTTCCCAGCTCAAGGGCACCAAGAGTGGAGCCAGGGCCTGCTGGGGCCAGGCTGGCTCAGGAGCCAGGATGGCAGCAACCTCCTGCATCCCTGAGCACTGGAGGGTGCCGCGGCCGAGTGCGTCCAGTCACCCAGCAGAGGCCGGGGGAGCTGGCAAGAGCCGAGGAGGAGGAGATGCAGGCCTGGGGAGATGCAGGCCTGGGCGGCTCCTGGGGAAGCTGGGTCTGCACAGCAGTCTGCAGAGTGGGCTTCCTTCCGGCCTCCCACAGGTAGAGGGCACAGTGTCTGGAGGACCTGGGCAGGGGGCAGAGGCGGCCACGAAGGACCTGGCAGTGGGTGAAGCAGGGCCAAGGAGGGGGGTGGTGAGGGGCATGCACAGCCCCCACCCCCTGCCACCTGCAGGCCACGGGGCCCCAGAGCTGCCTGCGGGTCCGAGGTCCCCACCCACGTGGCTGGGTCGGTGGTTGTGAGGGAGGGAACAGGGAGGCGGGTGGGGAGTCCTCTCACCCTGGGCAGGCACAGGCTGCCCTGCAGACACAGGTAAAGGAGGGTTCATTGTCCACCCGCCCCTGCCTGTCCATTCCTCCATGAAGAATGGAAGCTGCATTGTGAATTGCAGGTTTGAAGCATGATCAAAAAAATGCAGTGATTGTTTAAAGTTTAAAAAATATATACATTACAGAAAAGACACAGCCGTGACTTCCCTCCAACCCTCTCCCTTGCGCCGAACTCCCTCATCCCGTCGTCCTCACCCTCTTTCCCAAGCGGCTCTCCTTGCACTGTCCTGGCTGCCTCAGTGTCCTGAGTCGATTCAGCAGTTTCCATTTCGTGGTCATTTTGACTCTGGGGAGGAGCGGGAAGTCACACGGGGCCAGATCCGGTGAATAAAGCAGATGGGGACACCTGGGATGGTTTTGTTTGCCTGAAATTTCCATAAACGGGTAATCAATGAGAGCCCTCAGAAATATGGTGAACATTTAAACTAAGAAATGTATCACAATAAAAAGCACGCCGCCAGCGAGCCCCTCCGACTCCTCACGCACCCCGCCTCCCTGGGAACACACGGATCCTACTGTCTCTGGCAATGTATCTTTTACTACAATGCATTTTTAAACTTAAACACTGTGTGTTTCTATCACCCCTCGCTCGCTTGCCAGCATGCCTGCGCTGGGAACTAAGTCCTGAGCTGCTCGTCCTTGTTTGGGCCAAGGAGCCCCAGGCCGGCCGGGTGGTACTGGTCAGTCCCCCACGCAGCCGTCCACGCGATCAGAGGACCCGCACAGCGCCCTGAGATGGCAGCACGAGGTGCTGTTTTGCAGGAGTCCACCCTCACACCAAGGCAAAGGTGGAGCCCGCACGCACCCCAGCTGCCCACCCCGATGATCATCACCTGGGTGGCTGCAGTAGGGTGCTTGATGCGGGTCTCGCCACAGGCACGGGCGTGGCATTCCACGCCGACATCTCCTGGTGGGCATGGTCGGTGGGAACTCCTCAGCCCCGCTGGGGTCTTGTGGGAGCACCATCCCGGAGCAGGGCGAGGAGACGCCCAGTGCGGTGCCAGGTTTGCCCTGCGTGTTTTCAGCCTTGGTGTTTCTTTCTCCCTCCCTTCCTCCTCTCCTCTGCAACCTTCACCACTTCCACTTTGCCAGAGAAACCAAAACCTGCTGCCTGTCCCACACCTGCTTCTCCAGGCTCACAGAGCCACGTGCCAACCCGATACGGGCATCCAGGGTGGGGCAGCAGAGGAATGGGAAGGAAGCAGGCTGGCGTGGGGTCCTCCTCCCCGGCCCCTCCCCTCTCTGACCCTCAGTCTCCTTGTCCAGCCCAGGGCTGGCACAAAGCTGCTATTCCAGTACTCAAGTGACGGAATGGAAGAGGAAATTTAGTCTCCACAGCTCCTTCCAGGCTTGGAAACCCTGTGACTCCGGAGGAATCAGTCAGCATTTGGATGATTTACATGATTTAAACTGATCGAAACATGTGTTGCAAGTGGCAGAAAACCGTGTCTGCTCTTGAGTCCGGGGACAGACAGTTCTAATCCTAGTGGGTGGTCAGTTTCAGCCCCAAAGCTATCCCCGCCGTGTAACCCCCGCTGCACACATGCCCTCAGCAGGTCCTACGTGCAGGGGGACGGGGACGGGGACCAAGCACACTGGCATCCACCCCAGGAAACACACGGGGTTTCTCGTCTGACCCGGCTGCCCCAGAACCCCTCACTTCCACCTCCAGCCCCCGTGATGGCCTCGAGCTGCTCACGAGGGAAACTGGCAACCAAGTGGGCCAAGGAAGCGGGGAGCCTGTGACCTCGAGACGCCGTGCCCAGGCCCGGCCGCCCCAGCCCTGCCACCCCTGTGGCTCTGGGGGGTCAGGCCTCCAACCCCAGAGGCCCTCGCTTACTTTCTGCACCTTCGACATGGGAGGACAAGCAGGCCCCACTGAGGAGGGGACACGGGAAGCCAACTGTGGCCGAGAGGCGGGTGGCCCGGCCTCAGTAACAGGAAAGGGTGGTAGGCTGGGCCAGGGCTGCGCTGGGTCCAGGTGCAGACGGAAGGCACTGGTGAGGCCACGAGGGCAGAGGTCCCCTCACGGGGCAGCGTGCGACAGCCACCGCAGCAGGGGCGGCTGTGCACAGCGGGTCTGCAGAGCTGGGTGCTGCAGGCCGGAGCGTCCAGTCGGGGTGGCAGCCTGTGCAGCTGCGCCTCCCTGGACCCTGTCCCCAGTGAGAAGGGAGCGCTGCAGGGCTGAGGAGCAGCGCCGGGCAGGAGAGGCCCCCCGAAGAGACACAGCTGTGTCCCCAGGGCGGGGCCCAGGGAGGCTCTCACCTGAGAAGAGAGGACAGGGCACAGGGGGGCCATGGGGCAGGAACAAGGAGACTGGGCCTCTCCCTGCTCTGGGGAGGCCTCCTGTGTGGCCCTGCCAGGCCACTCCGGGCGCCCTGTGCCGGGGCCCACCCGCACCCCAGTGCCGGGAGGAAGCCACCCTGCCACGAACCCCAGCCGCTCCCAGGCCACCTCCCGCTTCCTTGGCCCCAGGCCACCTGGGCCACAGGGCTCGTCCCCTCTCCCTGTCCCCACTGCAGAGACAGGAGGCAGTGCAGGAGCCCCTCACTGAGGCTGCTCTCCAGGGCTCAGCCCCCACCACCCGTGAGGCCTGGTGTAGACAAAGCAAGCCTCTGCACCGTCCTGGGCCAAGGCAACCCTTCTCTGTTCTGTCCTCTGAGGCTGCTCCCCAACTGCCCCCGGTCCGGGCTTGGCCACCAGGAGCACTGCTGAGCTGGGCCAGGATGGTGTGGCGTGCCACGGGCTGTGTGCAGCTGATGGTCCCCCCAAGGGCACCTGACCGGGGGCTCGGGCACACTGGGGCTGCGGACTCTGGATACAGGCATCGAAGCTGGACAGGGCCCCCAGACACGTGCATTCACAGGCCGAGGGGAAGAAGGGCACAGTGGGGACACGGAGGGAGAGCCCAGGCCTCCCATCAGCCTGAGGCCTCAAGTACAGGCCAGGTGCCCCAGGAGCAGGCCAACTCCAGGGAGACTCATCCAGCAGCGAGCGGTCTGCAGGAACGGCAGTGGGCCCCACCGGGTTGGCGTCTGGGAACACAGGTGACAAGGACCTCAAAGTCCACAGGGGGGGCCAGCAGGGCTGAGGCAGGCGCAAGGTGTTGGTCCACAGCCGCCTTCCTGGGAGGCAGAAGGGCAGCCCAGCCTCGGGGGACGCCTTCCATTCCACTCCCTCACCCTGGCCCTTCCTCCAGGAAGAAGCTGGTGTTGACTCCGGACCTGGAGTCTGCTCGGCCCCGTGTGCTTTCAGGAAATGACTTCAGGTCATGCTCTCTGAGTCATGGTTGCACCACACGAGAAATGTCCCCAAATCTGACTGAGTGGTGTTTTCTCCAATTCCTGAATTTCCACACACAAATTTCCTGCATACTTACAGGGAACACCACACTTAGGCAACACTGGCTCTGGGGTGACGACTGCCCTTAACCCACAGCCTGCTTCCGGCCTCTGTCTTCTCCCACAGGCTCTGGGGTTCCCGTGCACCAACCCACATCCACTCCCAGCTACGCATACATCGTCTTTAACGGCAGAAGCCTGTTCAGCTCGGGCTGCAGCCCCGACTGTGCTCTTGAACCGCGCTTGCCTCCAGGATGCCTCGGGAGACAGGGACGCCCCGCAGCCCCTTCCAGGCCTCAGCACTCGGGGCACCCCTCCCAGCAGGGAGAGACCCCCCCCCCTGCTGAGTCATCGTGAGGCAGGCCGGCAGGCAGGAGGAGCGGACGGTGGTACAGACCTCTTAGCTCCGGCCGCCTCTGGTCTTTGTCCCCGGGGGCAGTGGGACGCCCCCCACGGAGGAGCCACCAAGGCCGTGACTTCCCCTGCCCCCATGATGAAGCACTTTGGACCCCCAGCCCAAGCCCTCAGGCCAGCAGAGTGCTGAGTCACCCAGCTCTTCCCGCCCAGCTTCCCTCCCCAGCGACCGGCAGCAGCTATTCCCTTAGGCGGGCCGGCCCCCGCCCCGCCGACCAGTCACGAGGAGCGCCGGAGGCAGGGAGGTGGAGGCCCGGCCTGCAGCGGCCCAACAGCCAGGGACCCCCAACTGTGGGGGTCCGGCCCAGGCACACATGTCCGCACAGCGCGCGCACACACACACGTGCACGCACACGAGCCTTCCACCCCTCCCCCCGCCCAGCAGGCCCTGGTTCCCCACGCAGTACGCTGCAGCTGCGCCTCCCACTCCCTAAGCCCACGCCTGCAGCGGGCGCGGCCTCCCAGAGGTCCAGCTTCACCCTGGTGCTGTCCACCTGGACATCCTGGGCCCCGAACGCCCGGCCGCACGCCAAGCCGCCTCCCCCAACGGCACCCAGGCCCCTCCCCCACCTCCCTGGCCAGCAGCCCAGCCAGGACTCTCCCGCCCCATGCTCTCTGGTCGGTGGGCCGCCTCTTCCTGTCTGTCCTGTCCACTCCAAGGCTCTCAAAGCTGCTGTGTCCTCTCCTCACTGTCACCCATGGGACCCTGCCCTGCTGCCCGACTGGAATCCATCTCCACATTGGATGACACTGAATACTGAGCACTTACCCTGCAAGATGCTGGGATGAAGACAGAGCAAGGCCTGCCCTCCAGGAGCCGGAAAGACAACCAAACATCCGCACATAGCTGATCTAACAGGGCTGGGGGCTAGGGCACATTCTGCTAGTCTCAGCACTTGGGAGGCTGAAGCGGGAGAATCGCTTGAGCCCAGGAGTCCGACAGCCTAGGCAGCACAGTGAGGCCCTACCTCAAAAAAAGTGGGGGAGCACAGGGGTGTAGCCTGCAGTAGAGTGCTGGCCTGGCTGCAGAGGCCCTGGATTGGCTCTCCAGGGCCACAATGCGTGTTTACATGTGATCGACTGTTCTATGTATACATTGCAGTCTGTGGTCTTCATCACTTAGGAGCTACAAGGATCAGCACAATTTGTTTCCATTTTAATTTTGCTCACATCTCTGTCTCACAGCTTTTCCTCTCAAGTGCTGAAAGCTGCCCGCTGTCCTTCGTGGCTCTTGAGAGCCCCTTACAGGACACTGCCCACCCTAAGGGACAGGATACCAACTTCCAGCCATTCTTCTCAAGCTTTCTGGGCTTTTTTAAGGCTTGAATTTTTAAATACAGAATGAATCATTCTCCCCACGACATCGCCAGTCAGGCCTCTCCGTCCCCAGATTGAAACACCCATTGTTCTGCTGTGGCTCTGCCAGCTCCCCACTGACTGAGCCGCACAGCTCTGTGGCTCCCACTCCTTTTTCACAGCGACCTTGGGCCTGGCCCCGCAGAGCCGCCCGCTCAGTGTGTGTCGTGCCCCTTTCACTGCAGTGAAGCAAATCCGCCCTCACCCTCTTCTCCCCCGCTGCTGTCAGCCCTTCACATTCTCCCGAGGGAGCTCCGGAGATGGCATTGCGTGTGCAGGCTTCTGGGGGAGAGCAGCACCCTTACCAAGTGGAGCTTGGCACTTGGGAAGACGTTGCTGCCTCCCCTTCCCTCAACTTGCCGGTGTCCTGGAGTAAGCATTTAGTTTTCTCTCCATGCTCACATCTGCTTCCGTGGCCAATATAAATGCCAGTCTTTCCTTTCACTCCCCTTCCACCTGGTGGTTTTCTGCCCGCCCATGCCGCCCCACAGGTCCGTGGTGACTCCGGGCTCTCTGATCCCAGCGGTTTTTCTGTTGATTCAGCGGGAGGTTTCTGGAACCAAAACTAGAGCAGCACGGCGGGGTCTCCTGCAGAAGCTGAGGTGCTGTCATTGCGCCTGCCTCCACGCGTCTACCGCTGTCCCGCAAGCAGCACCCCACGCGCCAGCCCCACGCAGCTCCCAGCGTTTTTATTATGAGCGCGTGTTTGCAGTACATAATGGCTACAAAATTCATCGTGGGAGGTGGTACCTGGATACTCACACACCTTAACTCTTTTCCACCTGCAAAAGAACTCCTCCATTTCCTATTATCGGTTTTTACTTTGCTTCGCATCTGTATCCTCTTACCCCTTGCACGTTTGTTCCCCCGCCTGGACTCCCTACCCTGCCTCCCTCCATTTCCCCTGCTGGGTCTGGCTTCTTTCCCTACTGCCTCCTGCACCTGTGCGTGTTGCCATGGGTACGGGGAGGCCTGCAGAGCCATGGCTCCGCACTCTAATCTTCGGCAGAGCTGCTCTTCTAAGAGCGGCCGGGAATCCAGCTTCCAGGTGACACGTGTGTGTCCTGAGACGGACCTGGCAGGGCAGGGGCCTGGGCAGGCCTCACGCACGCCAGGCCGGTACTGCCTGCAGCCAGTGTCCTCCCCTGCATCCTTGTGCCCTGCTGCCTGAGCGGGCCGTGGGCAGATGGCTGGGGCTGGGGCCGGGGCCTGGGCCTGGGTCGCGTTTCCAGAGCCGGGCAGCCTCTCCTCTGCTGTAACGCAGAGGTCCTTCTTTGCAATGCTCAGCGCTACCGCGATTTCCTCCGAAGCCCGGGTGACAGCGTCGCGCGCGCTGCCCGCCGGCTCTGCGTGCACCCTCCTGCCTCGGCCTGCGGGTTGCGGTTCCCGTGACGCCGTCCACGCGGGCGCGGGTGCGGGCTTCAACGACGACGAACCCCAGGCCGGGGTGCAGCTCAGGTCCGCAGCCCTGACGCCGAAGTGGCCCTGTTCACGTGTCCCCGGCGCCCAGCAACGGCCCGGCCGGACCAGAGCGCGGCCTTCCCTCCCCCTCCTCCTCCTTCCGCCGGCCCCGCAACCCCTCCCGCTCCCGCCACCGCCCAGGGCCGCGGGCGCGCTACCGGAAGAGGCGGGGCCGGCGACGGCGAGCGCGCTGATTGGCCGCGCGCGCGTGACGCGAGGGTCCTATAAAAGCCGCCGCACCAGCGCTCCGCCGTCGTTCGTCGAGCGTCGCCGCGGTCTCCTGCTTCAACAGTGCTTGGACGGAGCCCGGCGCTCGCCCGCCCTCACCGCCGCCCGCCGCAACCTCGCCCGCCGCCTTCGCCGCCGCCGCAGCCATGACGACCTCCTCGCCCTCGCAGGTGCGCCAGAACTACCACCAGGACGCCGAGGCCGCCGTCAACCGCCAGATCAACTTGGAGCTCTACGCCTCCTACGTCTACCTGTCCATGGTGAGCGCCCGCGCTGGGAGCGGGTTCGGCGGGCCCTCGCGGTGCACCCCGGGCTGGCCTCGCTTTGCGCCCTGCCTGTCCGTCAAGCGCTGGGGTCGCAGGCACTCGCTACCGGTTTTCTGGTTTGGAAACACACCTGCCCCTTCTCCTCCAGCGCTGGCCCCTCTCCGGGCTGTGGGAAGGGCAGGCTGGACAGGCGGCGCGGCCTTGGCAGCTGCCTTCCTCCCGGGAAGCCCTCGCCCTACACTGTTTACGTTCGCTTTCAGTCTTACTACTTTGACCGAGATGACGTAGCTTTGAAGAACTTTGCCAAGTACTTTCTGCACCAGTCTCACGAGGAGAGGGAACATGCCGAGAAGCTGATGAAGCTCCAGAACCAACGCGGTGGGCGGATCTTCCTGCAGGATATCAAGGTGAGCGGAGGGTCTGAGGGACAGCGGCAGCCCTTCCTTCTGAGTGCAGTGGCGGCCTGGGCTTTACTTTTGTGCTGCCCAGGGCTGCCATCCGCACGACCCCGTGCACATAGTCGTGGGCAGGGACGGTAACGCAGGAGCCCTCGCAGGGGGACTCGGCCAGGAGATGGCAGTGCTTGCAAATGGGTTGACCTAGCGCCTCTTGCTCAGAAACCAGACCGTGACGACTGGGAGAGCGGGCTGAATGCAATGGAGTGCGCCCTACACCTGGAGAAGAGCGTGAACCAGTCACTCCTGGAGCTGCACAAGCTGGCCACTGACAAGAATGACCCACACGTGAGTACGGGGGGCCCGGGGTCCCCAGAGGGAGTCGCTGGCCGTGGGGCTGAGGAAGCCGACCCTGTCTGTCTGCCTCTTCCCCCAGCTGTGTGACTTCATCGAGACTCACTACTTGGACGAGCAAGTGAAGTCCATCAAGCAGCTGGGTGACCATGTGACCAACCTGCGTAAGATGGGAGCCCCCCAGTCCGGCATGGCAGAGTACCTCTTTGACAAGCACACCCTGGGGGATGGTGAGGAGAGCTAAGCCTGAGCCAACGTCCATGGGGCAGCGCATGCGTGTTGGGGTTAGCTGCACCTTTTCTACAAATTGTACCAGAACATCTACTTAAGTTCTTCAATTGCTTCAAATAAAGAAATTTGGTACCCAGCTGTGGTCTTTGCAGTTGTGGGCTGTGTCAGAAATGTCTCGGGTATCTAGGTTCCTAAGTGGAACAGCTCGGTATAAGTTAGCTGTTCCAGCTGTCACAGGAGTGCGCTCTGCGGTGTGGACAGCTGTGTGGCTACGACTGGACCAGTGTCCCGGCGGTGTACACGCAGGTGGGGACCAGGCTGGTGATTCCCCGAGAAGGGCTAGGAGGGGGCGCCATCCCTGCAGGGTGAGAGGTTGCAGTTTGAGAAAGGGTCTGTGCAGGGGGTGGTCAAAGTTCACAGTAACTGCATGCAATTTGGGAAAGTCCCTGCCTCCCACTAGAACACCGGTGGTGAACCCAGGGCACGCGTGCCACAGCAGGCCGTTTGTATCACTGAGAGCTTTAAAAGGTTCGTCATCACTGCCCTAGAAGCAAGACTGAGATGTTGCTCCCTGAGATCTCAAACATGAAACTGCTTTCAATGCAGAAAGGAGAAGTTGCATTTCCCCCGTGTTGAGACTGGGAGGGGAAGGGGGTTGTGAACTGGGCAAGATTGCAGGAAATCTAGACCAAGGGGAAATGTTCCTGGTTTGTGCCCAAGAGCATGAAGTGTGGGTGATTTCAGTGAGGTCCAAACAAGACACACCAGCTTCCCCCCCACTGCCTGGAGTTCCACTTCGAGGCAGCAGTGCTGCCAGCTTTCCTGGGTGCTTGGGTGGCACTGAGGGCATGGGCAGGTGCTCTGCCAGCTCCCAGCTTACTGGGCAGTGAGTACCCTTGGTACAGCCTGCAACCCAGTGCTGCCTGTGGTCTCGTGCGCCAGCCTGGGGCCTCAGGCACTCACTGTCCCTGCATCTCTCCACTGGGCCTTGGTTGGCAGGTCCTGGCAATGCCCTTGAACACCTCCCAGGATCCTGCTGAGAGGACCAGTGTGTGCCCCTAGCCATGAGGGCTCTCTACTCTGGCAGCAGTGGCACCACAGGCAGGTGTGGAAGGGAGGGCAGCCTCAGTGCAGTGGAGCCAGGCGGGGGAGAGTGTCGCACAGGGCCCTAAAGAGACCCAGGCCGGAGACAGACCTGTTTTCCAAGGCCCAGTAGGGGTCCACGTGCTCTCCGGGCGCAGGGTGTGGGCCACTCGGCGACTGTTCTAAATGTGGCTCTGGGAGGCGATCTTTGGGGGGGCTTGGGCACAGGCATCAGGTTGAACTCCATGCTTTTCTTGGCAGGACAGACCTCTGGGTGCTCCTCTGAGGCCTGGTCGCGTGCGGGGAGCCACTCGGAAATGTTGGCCCCAGACGCCACCGAAGGCTTTAGGCTCTGGTCTCTGGCAACTCTGCCCGCTGTGTCTCGGCAGCTGGGGGGTTCGAACAGTTCGGAGAAGACTGGCGGAGTGGCTGAGGGGCTTGCGGGGGGGGGGGGGCTGTAGTACCCAATGCTCTCGTACAGGGCGGCCACCTTGAAGGCATCTGGAGGAGGCTGGAGCTTGCCATCCTGGGCCCCGGGGTGCTGCTGGGCACCCCTGGACCGGCTGTGGTGGCAGAAGGGTTTCTTCCTGGAGGGCAGCAACTTCCTGGAAGGGTGGTGCTGGTGGAGCTGCTGCCCGAGGAAGCGGCCTATGACTTCCTGGTGGGTCTCATCCTCCTCCTCGATTGGCTGAAACTCCATGTCTTCCTGTTGCAGGCTGGAAAGAAAGGCACCCGGCTGAGCAGAGGGCCAAGGGGCTGAAGCGAGGCCTCCATGCCCTATCCCGGGCCCCAGGCTCGCCTCCCTCCCAGCTGGCCTTGCTGTGCCCACTGCCCTGGCCAGGCGTCTGTGTCTCCTGTTCTCCCCTTCTTCCCATCAGAACCACACACCGAGGTTATGGGAGCTGCTGGTCCTGAGGGGTGTTCAGGCGGGGTCCGGGAAGCTGGGAGCTTAGGGGCCACCGGAGGACAGTGTCCTCCAAGAGAGGAGTCTGACTTCCTGTGGCTAAGTTCCCCGAGCACGGCTGTCCGGCCCAGGCCCACGTCTGTCCCCTGCCCCACAGCCCAGCTCCCAGCCCAAGGCGGCCACCTGCCGGCCGCAGCAGGTGACCTGTCCCAGGTGCTGCCTCTCCAACTGGGCTCTTTGGACCTTGCACCTGGTCCGGCCCTTGGGTCTGAGCTCCCTGGAGACCTGTGTGTTCCCCGGAGGCAAAGCTTGCGTGTGATCGCATTGCTGTTACCGCCCCACACCAGGGCCCAGGCCACGTGAGGCTCCACGAACCTCCACAATGTCCCTGACCCAAACCAGCCACCAGCCTCCACTGGGTCACCTTCCCAGCCACCCTGGGGCTGATTAGGGCCCCTCACTAACCCTAGCTAAAGGGCAGAGAACTGCACTCTGGAAGTTCATCAAGTCCACAAGTTTGAGTTCATCCTTGGCAATCTAGCAACTTAGTGAGGCTCCATCTCAAAATTTTAGAAACGGGGGTGGAAGGTGGGTGCTGGGGATGTACAGTAGCTCAGTGCAAAGGCCTAGGTTCAATTTCAGTCACACACAGAACACACACAGCAGAGAGCGAAAAGCATCGAAAATTACACAAGAGGATCTTCGGCACAGACCCCGAACCCCGCAGTCCCGGGGAAGAGTGGGACTGGGTCGGGAGACAGCCCAGCCAGGAACGCCTTCTGCAGCTCCGCTCTGCAGGACGAAGTCCTCTGCAGGACACCCTGACCCCTCCCACACCGGGCACCCGCTTCGGCTCTCCACCCAGAACCCGAGCTGGTCAGAAGAGATCTGGCAGAGGGAGAAAGCAGGTCCGGGCAGCCCTGCGGCACTGCCACTGGCTGCTCACAGCCACTTCCCTTCTGGGCCTCAGTTTCCGGCTCCTGACTGGAAGGGAGAGTGTAGCCGGGAGGGACCCAGGTGCATTCTGGCCTCCCAGGTCTCTGCAGCACAGCCGAGGGGCAAGGGCACAGAAGGGGCAGCAGACAGAGCTGCCACCCAGCAGCCCCTGCTGGCTCTGTGACCTTGCACTGGGCAGCCTGGCTCCCCTGAGCCTGTGCTTGACTGTCTGAAAACAGGGAGATGACCCAGGTCACGGGGAGCACAAAGTGAATGTGTGCCAGGAGCACAGGTCGGTGCGGCCCACGGGGGCGCCAGTGAGCACAGGAAGTGGGGTTCCCCTTGGCAGCCCCTCCCCCAGCCCGCAGAGCCCACCTGGTGTTGAAGGTGGAGCCCAGGAAGGAGGTGCAGCAGTGGGACTGCTTGGCTGCGGCCATGTAGGGGGCTGAGGCTCCATCTCGTTCCAGTACATGTCCCACTCCAGGGGGGGCAGGTCCTGGTGCATCTCGTCCACCGACAGCAGGGACACCTGGTTGTCAGGACAGAGGGCCGGACAGGGACTTGGCCTGGTGACTTGCCAGTCACCTCCGTCCCTCAGCTTGCCTGACTGTGAAAGGGAGACAAGCGAATGCCTGCAGCCTCGGGAGCGGAGGTGAGAATCCTGGGGCAAGCGGCTGGTTGTCGGGGGAAAGGGACAGGCCCCGCTTGGGTGCCCTTGGGAAGGCCCCATGGGCAGCCTCCCCCATACCTGCAAGTTCCTGTCCAGGATCCAGTTGATCTCGAAGTCATCGTCATCCTCTCCAAAGGGGTTGATGAGCTGCTCTGCCACCTTGGGGACAGGAGAGGCTCTGCAGGCCTTCAGGTGGCGCTTCTGGGAGCTCTTCCCTCCTGGAAGAGGACCCCCATTTCCACACCCAGGACCCCTGCCTGGGTGACTGCTGCTTTCCAGCCAATGGGTAGGGTTGCAGCCACCGACTGGTGGGCCACACACGCCCCTGCCCTTCCGGCCACTGAACCCCTCTGCAGCCTGAGCGCCTCTGCTGTCCCCGGGGGAGACGATCACCCCACATATATTACCAGGAGTTGCACTAAAGCAGAACTTAAAAGAAAATCCATTCTCCCAGCTGAAAGCAGTCTAGCAGTGGGGAACTCGGGTCCCACCCCCCTTTCCTGGTTACTCAGGAATCTGCCTTCCTTAAGGCTGCCCCCCGACTAACGCGGCAGACAGTTACATTCCAGTGAATGAAGTCTTTACAACCTGTCAGGAACTGTATGCCCTTGAAGATACAGATGAGACTGACAACTGTGTCCTACACATGTAGCTCATGAGGCCCTGCTCGCACAAGCTCCACAGGACAAACTGTCATCGTGCGAGACATGACTAGCCTGGTTTTTGTCTGCTTCTGTAACCTCGCTCCCCCCACGTCACTAGAAAGACCACACCCCTTCAGAAAACATATAAGACCAAAACATCTCTCTTGTCCAGCACCCAGCACTTTGGACACGAGTTCAGCTGGGTCAGGTGCACACCTAACCGATCCTCCTGACTCCCATTTGGTCTCCTGTCCTTTTGGAGTTCTGCAGCAACGGAGTTTATCCACTCACTGTGCTGAATGCGAGGGTGGTGCTGGTGGGCAGTACCCTGACAAGGCTGCACAGGGGTGCCGGGGCACCTAGGGCTTGAGGGACAGCTTGCAAGCCATGGGGACACCCTGGAGAATTTCAAGGGTGGGCCAGGGGTAACTGGGAGGAGACAGGGAGCAGCTGTGTGTGCGGGTGTGATGTGCACAGGACAGGAGAGACCCTCACCACCACTGCCAAGAAACCTTAAGAACGACAGAAAAGAGGGAGGGGGTCAGAGATGGGAGGGAGGCAAAACAGAGAGGCAGAGAGAGAAAACTGTCACGCGAAGCCCCACTAGGACATTAGGTCCTGGTTGAGCGGGAAGCGGCACCTAGCTAAGCCCCCATGGTGGTGGCCGCGGGTCTCCTGAGCTGCTTCTAAGGGGTACGGAACATCCAGGCTTCCGTCTCACTAAGTAGAGTGGATCAACAGCGAGATGGCCTGGCCCTGCCTCACGTTCCACCCGGAGATGCTCAGGCTGCCCCAGCCTTCCCAGCCAGACACAGGCCTCAAGCAGAGCCCTCCATGCACAACTTCGGGATCACATGGGCTGGGCTGCGGTGGGGGCCCAGCACCCCACCTTCCCCCGGAGGCTCACCTTCAGCCAGCCCATGTAGAAGAAGAACTGCAGGAACGTGAAGATGGGCACAACCAGGTCCATCTCGTGGCCTGGGTAGGCCTTGGCCGGGATCAGAAACTGCCGGCCCAAAAGGCAGGCCAGGAAGAAGCTGTACACTGCCATGGTCACCACCTGAGGAGGGGGAGGGCTGGCTGGATCGGACCCCCAGGAGGGGCGCGCGGGCCTTACCATCTCACTGCCTCACTGCCTCCAAGGGCTGCACCAGGCGGCAGCCTTCAAGCCCAGACCCAGTCCCCAGGGTGAGTCTGCTTCCTGGGCCCTCCTGGCCTCGGTTGCCCAAAGGAGAGCTTCAGCAGGCTGGGCTGGTCCTCACCTGTGTGTACACCAGCGGGATATTGATCCAGTCGGAGCCATACAGGAGTCCACACTGGGTGCTCAGGATGTTCATCTCCTGGGGAGGGGACAGGATCTGACTGCCGACCCCCAGGCTCCCCCCAGCTCCTCCTGGCTCCAGGGGCTGGGCTTGGTTCCCCCCTGCTGTGGGGTCACCCACAGCTCACTAAACCTCTCCGTGCCTTGGGCTCCTCAGGCAGAGGAAAGGAGCCAGGACCGACAGGCTCCTTTAGAGAAGGGTCACCCCGCGGTGGGCAGAGCCCCGCGACCCCCGCACAGGCCCGGGCACACCCCCGGGTGCCCGCTGACCCCAGCCCGCGGTGGGTGGGGGCTCACATTCAGCAGGCTCTGCAGCAGCACCGAGTCGCGAATCCGGCCTCTGTGCCAGGCCTGCATGGCCAGGTTGGCGAACCACACCCAGGGGACCCAGAACATGTTGTGGGGGAGGCTCAGCTGCTCCAGCCTCTTGTACTCCGCGGGGCTCATGAAGCCTGCGAAGCGCGGGAAGGCGCGAGTGAGAGGATCTGTGACCCTTTCCGCGCTCGGTGCCCAGGCCTCCAGCGCCTCGCACCTTCAGGCACTGACTCCACCCCGCCGCACCTCGAGGCCTCGCCCTAGCTCTGGGCAACCAACCCGCAGGCGCAGGCCCTGGCCCCGCCCCTACGTAGAGCAGAGGCCGGCGGCCGCGCCCACTCCGCCCGCCCCGCCCTCCTCCTTGCAGCAGGTGCTGCAGGCTAGGGAAGCGCTTGTAGATGGCGGCGCTGACGCTGCGCAGGATGATGACGTAATCCAGGATGGAGTAGCGCATGAACGTGCGCCGCAGCAGCCGGCCGAGCTCGTCGCGGCCCTCCACGAAGGCCGACACCTGGTTCATGAGGCGGTCGGGCCACGGCAGGTTTTCGTACTGGTTCCACCAGCGCGTCAGGACTAGCGTCACGTAGAACCCTGGGGAGCGGGCGCGGGCGGCCCGGGAGCGCCCCCCCATCCCCCGCGGCCCGACCCCCACCGCGACCCGGGCAGGGCAGGAGGGGCGCTCACCCAGCACGAAGGACACGGGGATGAGCTGGATGTAGCTGTCGCAGTACATGCTCAGCTTCTCAAACACCTCCTGGTGCCGCTCGCTGAGCGCCCGCCTGGGGACGGGACGGAGATGTGGCCGGCGGGGCGCGAGGAGGGGCGTCGGGGCGACCCCGCTGTGCCGCCCGCACCCTGGGCTGCGGGGGACAGGCAGCCTCAAGGCAGGCTCGGGGTCACCAGTGTGGGGGCTGAGAACTCTGCCTTCTAACGCTGCTCTAAAAACACCAGATCCCTCTAGTTGAAAAGAGAAAGGTACGAAAGAAAACCGAAGGGCTGTGTCGTTAGATTACATCTGACCTACATTTTATTGTTTAGATAAACGTTATTTATGTAAGCCTCTAGGCCTGAGAGTGTGTGGGATTCGTGACACAGGTGGCTGGGCCGGACCAGCTTAGCCAGGGGTGGAAACCGCGGGGGGCACGGCAGCCCCCTCCCCAGCCCTCAGTGTGATCTCCCCACCTGTAGATGTAGCGGATGACGTAGTAGCACAGCTGGAAGATGAGGAACTCTCCGTACAGCAGCTTGTAGATGCTGCCTTGCCAGCAGAGCAGCAGGCGGCAGAAGGAGCCCAGGCGGACGTTGGCCACCTGGTTGGTGTAGGTGATGGTCATGGTTGCGCTGGGCGGCAGCAGGTGGCTTGGGTCCTGGTGGACGGGCATCGAGAGGTGTGGTGTGGGGGCCTCGGTCAGTTCCTGTTTGGGGCTCACATGGGACCCTAGCCAGGACGCTGCTCAGGGCCTCCGCTCTGTCACCTGGATGCTGGGAGGGGACTAAGATAGTCTCCAAGGAGCTTGGGGACCCAAGCCAGTGAGCCCCGAAGCCTGCGGTGCCTGAGGTTCCTCTTCCTGAGTTAACTGTGTGGCTCTTTCTCTCTGGGTCAGGTCCTCAGAGAGGACGTCCCCAGCCGTCCTACTGGAAACAGTGCCCATTACCACCAGCAGGGTGCCCCACTCTCTTGGTCTTCCACGCCTCACTGGCCCGCTTGAGCTTGGGCTCACAGATCCCCCTGTTTCCCACTCCAGTTGTTTCCAAAGCAGGTGCTCAGTGAAAGTGTTGAAGCAATGATAGCAACCCCACTTGTCCTGAGGTAGTCACACACTGGTGGGGTCACTGTGCCCGGTGCCACCAAGCTCCTTCCTGCCTCAGGGCCTCTGCACAGATACCTGGGGCCACACCCCCCCGAGGCTGCCTGTGTGTGCCCCTCGCACAAGTACATGGCACAGCTGGTCACCCACCCTGAAGGCCGCGAAGCCCAGTCTACCCTGGTGCCATACTCACAGGGGCGCTGCTGTTGGCCAGGCAGTCCTGCCCAGGTCTGGCCCCTGGCTGGTGGGCAACCGGAGGCCCTGTGGCCAGTGCCGCTGCCCACCTGTGGAGGCTGGCTCTGCCCACATCGGTGAGTGCTGCATAAGTCACTTGACTGCCTAAGCTAGGCCGCCACAAAGGAGCCCTTGTCTGCTGTCTTAATCTGCTCTGAGGCATAGCCAGCCCAGCCCAGCCAGGCCCCTCTGATTCCTCCCAGGGCGGGAATCTGGGGCAACACCCCCTCTACCTTGATCCTAAAATCCAGAGGTCCTGGGCCCTGCTATCACATGGGAAGAGTTAGGGACACCTGGGGCAACCCAGGAGGGGGCCTCTGCCAGGTCTGGGGGCTGAGGCAGCCACCTGGGTTGGGGAAGGAACCCTGAGCGTTGGGCAGAAGTCCTGGCCCCGTGGTGGCCTGGTGGGGCCCTGCATCCTGTCTGAAAAGGATGCAGTTCTGGAACTTCATCTTCTCCCTCAGGATGGGATCTGCCTGTGCTGGGAGGAGCTCCGATTGGCTGCTGGCGATGTCATGGTGCATGCTGGCTGTGACGGGCCAGGACCCAGTCTTCAGTGGGTGCTTGGGCGGACCTTGGGGAGAACTGTCAGCATTCCGACGCGCTCAGCCTCCAGTGCCCAGTCCTGCCAGGCTGTTTACTGGCGCGCCGCTGCCAGGTCTCTGGAGTGATGCTGTGGCCTCGGGGATGGTGGCTGGGGCCACACTTGGGCACACCTCAACTTAGAACAGGACCACGAGCCTTCATGCAAACAGGTCCACTGTCCTGCCCGCCCTGCTGTCCCCTCCCGGCCCTGTGTAGCTGCAGAGCTCCAAAGGGCCTTGAACCAACACTTCGCCCCTGTATCTCCCAGCGGAAAGCACCTCGGGAAACTTTTCTCTCACAGCTGTTGTTGGGCATCCAGCCCAGGTCAGGACGGGGTTCCCGGAAGTGGTGAGCCTCAGTTTCCCCATCTGTGAAGTGGCGCAGTAACACCTGCCTGGGCAGCAGGGGTGAGGAGACGGGCACCTCCGTCCCCTCCCACACCTGTGGCTGGGTGCCAGAGCCAGGTTTCCCTGGGCAGCATCTGCAAGCCTAGTGCCTGTGCCTGCCACTCAGGCGTGCTTGGGGGGCTCACTGCAGGGGCACTTCCCGCCCTCGAGCTCCCTCCTCACGCGGGAGGGTGCTCCGCGTCCCAGGGGACTAACACAGGTGCTTTGAGGTAGGCGAGTGCTGGCACAGCAATGCCCACTCCAGCCTGGGGGGCCGGTTCCTGCCTCCTGGGGAGGCCACTGGGGGCGCCTGTGACCCATGCTCTCATCAGGGAAGCCTGGGCTGTGGTGTAGACTGGCACAGGGACCCCAGCTCCGTGTCCCCCCGGCCCAGGCCAGCAGCCACAGGATGTCACTGGGCGCTGGGAGACCCGGTCCTGGCTGCTCCAGCCTCCCTGCCCTCAGACGTCCCCGAGGACACCTGTGTAAGGCACAGGTGTGCACTGTTCTCTCCATGGGTCCCCAGCCGGCCCGGCATAGCCCCAGCACACAGGGAAGCCACCACAAGTACCGACTGGCCCCAGCCAAGCCTGGAAGGAGGCCCCGGGAGTGAGCTCTGAAGAATGTCCCCACCCCGGTCAGGGCTGCCCTGAGATGCAGGCCAAGTGCACAGAGCTCAGAGAGACTTTTACAAAGAAGGGAGCATTTGAGTTGGGTCTTGGAGCGTGAGCAGAAGTTCACTGAGCTGGGAAGAATGACTGGGCACTGAATCCGGTAACAGCCTATGACAAGTGACGGGGACACTTCAGGATACAGAGCAGGACACTGCAGGCCTCCCTTGGCCAAGGCCACACAGCTTTCGGTGACTTGGGGCTGGGTCTTGGTCTCCTGAGCCCTTCCCTCCTCACCAGGCTTCCACTGGGGGTGATCCTGGGTGGGGCCTTACCGGTCAGGGAGGGGCCCTGCCAGGTGAGCGTGAGTGTTAGGAAGAGACCTGGACCACAGCGCAGCCCATCTCAAGCCCTGGGGCGCTGGAGAGCCCTGTGGGGCAGGCCAAGAAGTGGAGGGTCACCGTGGCAACAGGAGCATCACAGAGGGTCGGCCTCTGGGCAGGGGATCAGCATGGCCAGGCAGGGCCTGTGCTGGGCCAGCCGCCTGCCGCCCGCCGCCTTTCCCGGGCCCATCTCAGGACCAGCAGGGCCGACACCAGAGAGAGGCGGGGCAGCACCATGTCAGGGGTTCCAGGGCAGGCCCGGAAAGGACAGGTGACCCCAGCTCCGCCCCGCATTGGGCAGCCCTGATCCCCCAAGGCTGTGCACTCGGGATCCAGCCACCACAGAAGGATGACAGCAGGGAGCAGGGGAGGAGAAGTGGAGGGGACACCCTAGGTCCAGCTTGGCCGAGCCTCATTCTGCCAGCAACGATGATGTGAACTGAAATAGGCCAGAGCTGTGGCCCAGGGACCCGGCCTGTCCCCCATGGACTCTGGCCCTCTGGGGTCACAAGGTGAGGTGCTTACCCCACCACCCCATGCTCAGCACCAGCTGTGGGGAGCTGGGGCTCACTCTCCAGCTGTCCCAGCCCAGGGTCCCCACTTCCGTGGCAAACAAGAGCAAGAGGACTGTGGGGCGTCACCCTAGGACTGTGACTCACATTGACGGAAGGCCTAACCTCCTTCCTGTCATCCATGGATTTGTTGAAGGGATTACTCTTTCCTTGTTGGGTGGGCTTGGCACCATTGGTGGAAATCCATCGGTAATGGACACGTGGCTCTACTCCTGGACACACTTCTACCTCCTGGGCTCAGGTCTGTCCTCAGGATACCATGCTGTTTTTACTATGCAGCTATAGAGAAATTTGGAAATTTGGAAGTCTGAGGTCTCCAACATTGTTCTCTTTTCTCAAAATTATTTTGGTTGTTCAGAGTCCCTTGAAATTCCATATGAATTTTAGGATCACCTCACTCATTTCTGAAAAAAAAAAAAGGTAGGAATTTTGACAGGGATTACATGGAATTGGAAATTCTTTTGCCGTCTTTACAGTGTTAAGTCTTCACAGGAGGTGTCTGCTAATTTCTTTTTTTTTTTTTTTTGTACCAGGGATTGAACTTGGGACCTTGCACTTGGGAGACAGGCACCAGAAGCACTGAGCTAAATCCCTGGCCCTAATTTCTCTAGATATTCTTTAATTTCATTCAATAACATTTTGTAGTTTTTAGTGTCTAAGCCTTGGACTTCCTTAGTTTAAAATATTCCTAAGTATTTTTTCTTTTTTGTTATTGTAAACAATCTTAGTTACTTTTCTTGTTGCTGAGACAAAATACAAGACCCAAAGCTAAAGAAGGAAAGATTTACTGAACCTCATGGTAGTAGAGGTTTCAGTCCATAGTCACCTGTCTCCAAGGCAGGTGTCACGGCAGAGGGGCATCACAGAGGAGAAACAGTCCATGGCAGGGTAGGCAGGAGGCAGCAAAGCAGTGACGTATCAAGCAGCAGCAGCAGGCCTGCTTTCTTTCTGACTCTTTGTATCCATCCATGCTATCCAAACTTTGGGTGGTGCCACCCACACCAGGGTGGGCCCTCCCATTATCCACACCCAGAGCTATGCCAGACCAATCAGTGGACTAATTTAGTAGTCACACACCCTTAATCCCAGCATCACACACCCTAGATCCATCCACCTCTGAAAAGCCCCCACATGAGACTTTGGGGGACATCTAGATATAAGCCATAACATAAACAATTGTTTTCTTAATTTCATTTTCAGGTTGTCTAATGTACAGAAATACAACTGACTTTTGTAAGCTTACCTTGAAGTCTGAAACTACTGAATTCATTTACCAGCTGTAAAGCTTTTGCATGCATGCATTAGGTTTTCTGTGTACAAGATAATCCCATCTGTGATACGGTTTTACTTCTACTTCTTCCCAGCCAATCTGGATCTCTCTCTCTCTCTCTCTCTCTCTCTCTCTCTCTCTCTCTCTCTCTCTCTCTCTCTCACATGATTACCCTTGCTTAAACTTCCAGCAAAATACAGAAGAGGCAATGCCAGCCATTCATATCTAGTTCCGGATCTGAGGAGGAAATATTTTAGTCTCTCACCACTAGGTGGTATTAACAGGGTTTTCACAGATCCCATGTGAGGGTGTTGAGGTTTCTTGGCCTTGGGATGCACCACTGAGCTGCATCCCTGGCCCCATGTGCTGAGATTTCTTTGCGTGCTTAGTTTTATGAGTGGTTCTTTTATCATGAGAAGGTGTTGGTTTTGTGAAGTCATATTTTCCATCAGATGATCATGTGGTTGTTTTCATTTTAACAGTATGGTATAATTACATCAATGGATTTTCTTTTTTTTTTCTTTTGTACCGGGGATTGAACTCCAGTCCTTGCGCTTTCGAGGCAGGCGCCGGAACCACTGAGCTAAATCCCTGGCCCAACATCAATGGATTTTCTTTTTTTTTGGTACTGGGGATTGAACTCGGGTCCTTGCACTTGCAAGGCAGGCGGTGGAACCACTGAGCTAAATCCCCAGCCCGACATCAAT